TTAATATTTTTATACAATATCCAAATTACCCACATAACCCTAACATCTCTTTCTTCTATTTTTCCCTTTTCACGTGTGGATGATAGACAATTATTATTACTAATGAATGAAAATAAAATAAATCTTAAATCTTTCAAGTAATCTATTCAAATTATATATTATTAAAATGTAAAATAAGTTGCACATATAACTTAAATAAAAATTTATATTCCTCTTATAAATAATTTTTGATAATAAAGAAATATGTGAATGATAGACTATTATTATTACCTATGGATGAAACTAAAATAAAATCTTAAATCGTTCTTTGATCTATTCAAATTATATATCTTTAAAATCTATAATAAGTTTATATTCCTCTTACAAATAATTTGTGATGAGAAAGAAATATTTGAATGATAGCAAAATATAATTATTTATGGCTATAAAATATAAATTAATTAACTTTTATTATGTTAACAACTTTTAAGGGTATTTCAGACATTTTGATTAATTAACTTTTATCAGCACTTATTTGCCAAACACATCAACAACTTTTTTTTAACTTCAGCACTTTTATCCAAACGCATAACTGCTTATTTTAAAAATAAGTTTCAGCACTTTCAAAAGTACTTTTTTAAAGCTGCTTTTATTAAGCTCATCCAAACGGGCCATATTATTTTCATCATGATATAGAGAAACTATATATATACACCATATATCATATATTTTCTATTAGTTTAGTGTGTGATATGATTTTATTTCGTACGACTTTTGTGTTATTGTGAAATAACATAAAAACTACATAACAAATAATGTCAAAAATTATAAATTCTAAAAAATATAAAAGCACGGAAAAATACATAAATATTCCCTAAACTTGAGTCGATGTCTCAAATAAACACATAATTTTTGCACGCTAAAATCCTATTACCCATTGAACTATCTCAAACAGAAATATACACCCTCTTAACTCCTTTTCAAAAATATATATGATATAAATAACAAAATTACGTTTAAAAAGGATAGGCCGAGTTGAAATATATTGAGTCTCGCATAACAACTTCATTATGCTTTTTATAAAAAAAAATAAAAAAATCGCAATTTGAACATGTAATATGTTAATTAGGTGATAATAACTTTTAATTATGTTGCATGAAGTAACTACTAGTACTTAGCAATAGGATAAAGAAGGTATATAATAATAAATTCTCTCTTAAATTTTTAAAAAGTATTTTTAATATAATGAAAAAATTAAAATAAATAGAGGATGTATATATTCAGGGAAAAGTTATTAGTCATAAACAGCTAGCTAGTAATTATAAATATAAATTAAAGAGAATTGTAAAAAAAAGAGGACCCCTAGCAAAGTCATATATAAAATTTATGCTAGTACTCGAAGATGGTACAAATAATTAATCTTCAATTTTAATAAGAGTTAAAAGGGTTAAAAATACATTTAAAACATCTCAATATTTCTAGTTTCACAGCTATAAATTATTAAGGGTGTAAATTTTTATCTGAATTATTACCAAATGTTTATCGAAATAAATATTAACTATCAATTATTCATTTTTTTTATCTAAACAGTGGTGATATTTCATATGGAAAAAGCAAACAATTAATAATTAAAATGCGCTTCAATAAATATATAGTAATAATTTTGTTAAGTAACTTCTACATCTGAAAGTTTAAATATAAAACTCAAAAAAATCAAAATACTTCATATGTGTTTTTTGAATTTGTGGACTATGAAATGTATCTTCATGAAACTTAGGAATATAAATATGTAGGGATAAGACACAAGTACCTTCTAAATTTTCGTCGAAATTTTCAAGGCATATCTTAACTAAGCTAAGATTCTATAATCTCTCTGAACTTGTTGAGATAAGTTGAAGTGGAAAATAATATATATCTGATAAATAAGTTAAAATACACGTAAACTGATTTCAAATAAAGCAAATAAATGTAAAATGTTGGTTAATGATTATTTTAAATCCAGTTGTTTTAGTGTGTATATATATATATATATATATATATAAATTAAGTAAATAGAAATTGTCAATTTTAAAATTTGCTAAATTATATAAATTATGATAGATTACTCAAATATATTATAAGATTTAAATTTTGAATCTGCTCTATCTTTCTTTTGTCTTTCGTATTTATTAGTACGAAGTATAAAAACAAACAATCTCATATATTACAAAAGAGATTGTTTTGTTAAGATTAACAGATTAATCTATTTATTGATAAGATATTTCCTCCTATTTATTATTGGATGAACTACATTATTGATATTGATCTCAAAAAGAAAAACACGGTTGGTATAACTACAAAAAAAAACATTGTACTATTAAAAAAAAATAGATTTAATATATAGTTATTAATATTTTTATATTGTATTTCTGGATCAGCCGATCCCAAACGAAAAGAAGAGGAAATCATAGTGGCTTTTCTCTCAAATTTCATTGGCCCCTACTTGGCACTATGTTTTTGACAATATTTAAAAGGGTCAAATTTGTATCTATATATTTTAATATATTTGCAAAACTGAAATAATTGATATTTACACTATTGCTATATTTTAAAGGAAAAATGCAACAAGTATCTCCTAGAGTATGATCGAAATTTCAGCAATACATATTAAATAAGTAAGGTTTTATTGCCCTCTAAATTTATTTTTTTGTAATTTTATACATCTTTTGTTTTACGTGGCATATTTCCTGACTCGAAGCAAATGAAGCGCGTGAAAGATATTTGGATGTCACGTAAGTCAAAAAGGTGCACAAAATTTAAAAAAAAACTAAGTTCAGAGAATAATAGGACCTTAGTTTAGATAAGATGTGTCTCTGAGATTTCGATCATATTCTAAGGGATACCTGTACATTTTCCTTATTTTAAATTGTCGTAATAATGTATATTATTAATATAATCTAACTACTCTTTTTACCAACAATAAAAAAAAACGATTGCATCAAGTTAATTTGTCTTTATCTTTTACTTTAACTTGTCTCTTATTTTATAACACTATTCTCTTATTAGTTTTTTTTTTGTATAATTAGAAATTCTAACTATCAGCTTTCCTTTAAATGGAATTTTTAAAGCTACACGAAAGTTTTATGTATAACATGTTTTAAATCAGATAAATTTCAAAAAAAAAATTATAGCAATACAAATGAATTACATATTATCAACAAGGATTGTGAGAAAGTGATAAGTACTCTTTTATCCTTAATTAAAAAGTTTCAGGTATGAGCCTTTTTGGATACAAAATCACCTTTTTAAGGGTGTGCTTTACTCCTCAATGTGAAACTTCTCAATGCGAATTCAAATTTAGTCAGTTCAATATAAAAATTAGACTCCGAATAGAAAACAAAAAAAATAAAATTACACATATACATCACAAGTTTTAAAATGCACCACTTACTTAGTTGATCACTTCATGCCCAATTTGGCTATCTCAAAACCCTACTATAAACAACTCTCTTGAACTCTTCCTCTCAATTTAAGAAACAAAAACACACATAAAATTAAAAGTCTATGGAGAATACGTAAAAAAGAGTCTATTACATCAAAAACTCTATAAATTAACAATCTCTTTAAAATAATATTTTTCTTCAATTTCGATTTAAATAAATGGAAAAAATCACCAATTTCGATAAGATAATATCAGAAGACTCTTATGTAAATATATGGTCCCAGTAATATCATAAGTTAATAATTCTTTAAAGTACAAATATATCTAAGACAATTTCGTGAATATGATTACTTAAAATTTAAATATAGTTGAAGCTCATGTCTAACAAAACTTGTTGCGTCCAAGAGGTATGGTATTGTCTTTTCGAACTGCACCATAACATTGAGAATAGTTCTAGATGTGATAAGTGTTTCCTTACGCGTATTTGGTTCCAAAGGTACAATATCATCTTCAACTTCATCATCAACATTGTTTTTTTCGATGTATCCACAATTCTTCTAATCTCTAGACTTCTAAACAAGTATCACTTTCACTCTGATAATCCAATAGGCTATTGACATTCATTTTATTATGGTAACCGAGATCATTAATCATGACCTCAAGTTCATGAATGACGTTTTCACAAGTAGGTTCAAAAAAATTCTCTGAGATTGCATCTCTTGAAGGATTTTTACAGTATCTAAAACAATTTGCTATTGTCTTTTGCTGAACATTTGTTGTTCAAATAGAAATTGCATAATTAATAGTATCCAAAATATTGATCTTTGTTGGATCATTTTGTCCCACTCCATAACGTTCTAATATCCTACAATAAATTATGTTCGATAATACCTCTTGAAAGCTCTTACAATTACAGAATCACAACGTTGAAATTAATAAGATACAATGATTTTGATGTATTTATTGTATTTTATGTATGATATTTTTTTTATGTGAAATCGATAAATATAATACATAATTTAGTAAGATATAATGATTTTGAGATAATTAAAATTAACCTTCATCAAATCTCAAACTATTCTTTAAATTAAT